ATCCTTGGCTTTGATTCCCAGCAATGAAAAAAAAATACATAAATATTATAACACAAATGCATATGCATCATGGGACATTTAGAAAATGTAGAGAAACAAAAGAAAACAGCTCAAACTCACCACTCAAACATTGCTAGTACTTTAGATTATCTCTGAGTGTGTATTTAGATTTATTCTATAGGCAGTTTATTTATTTTTAGTTTTAATTTATTCAGCACTGGAGATTGAACTCAGGACCTTCTGCATACTAAACAAGCTCTACCACTGAGCGGCACTGGCAGTTTATATGTATATGTGTTCTTTTTTTCGTTTCTTTTTTGTTATGTTTGCGATTCATGATAACTACATTCATCTTGGGGAACGGTACAAACATATAGTGCATTTGAATCATTTTACTTCCTCTTCCCCTCCAACCTCACCCCCTTCACATCTCTACAAAGTCTACCTCCCTGTTTTCTATCATCTATCTTTTATTTTGTTCTTTAAATTACTTACACTTTGGGTTTCTTATATGAGAAACCATATGATATTTAACCTTCTGCATCTGATTTATTTCACCTCTATTATGGTCTCCAGGTGCATCCATTTTCCTACAGATGACTCAAATACCCTTCTTTATGGCTGAGTAGTACTCCATTGTGTATAAATTCCACATTTTCTTTATCCATACGTCTGTTGATGGACCTATGGACCACTTCCAAGATTTAGCCACTGTGAGTAATGCTGTTATAAACATAGGCAGCAGCTTAAATTTTAATGGCTTATTAATAACTGCATTCTATGGAATACCACATCCCCTAGCCAATCTTCTATTCATAGACATATTTACTCTAAGTTTTCACTATGCTAAGTAATGATTTAATATACATTCTTGTATGAAATCTTCCACATCTTCATCAAATATTTAGAGATCAGTAAACAGAAACGACATCATAAAATGAGTGTTCCTATGGTCCTTGATGCATATTTCCAAGCTGTCCTTTAGAAATATGATAACCAGGCTCATGTCTATCAACATCTACAAGACCATCCCAGCCAACACCAGTCCTTATTATCATCTAACAGCATGTTGGAGGCATTTGACAGGTGAAAAGCCAATAGTCACTTGCTTTATTTTGATGTCTTTGCACAAGGTTACTTTTCCCTTCTCAAAGGCTTCTTGGCCACTTGAGTGTCATTAGAGAAGAAATGTGCTTTTCCTTTGGCTATCTTTCTGGCAGAGCCTCCCTGACCTTGGAGAATGACCTTTGGGGGGGCACAGCCTCCTTGGTTTTGCTGCCAGAACCCTGGGTTGGCAGAGGTCCTTGTCCCTGGAAGAGCTTCCCTGGCACAGGGGGCTGGTGGCAAAGCCCCCCTTAGCTCAGGCTCCCCTTTAAACGGTGAAGGGGGAAGAGCAGCAAGGACCGAGGGAGGGATGCCAGCAGGCGGCGGTGTCTTGGGCACTGACTGGGAGGAGAGATTGTAGAAGGAGGAAGGGCAGCTTGCTGAGCTGCACAGGGGTTCACACACTCAGAGCTCGGCGTGACCGAGAGGACGGTGGTAGGAGAGTTGGCGAACACGGGGACAGGTCAGTAGTGACAGCACGGAGGAGTCGGAGTGGGTCAGACAGCGACAAGAGAGCAGGTGTGTCCAGGGTGGCCCTCTCCTTCAGAGTGTCCTGGCCTTCGCTGGGTCCCCTAGTGGCCCACATGCCACCGTGTGACCTCAGCTGTCTCCCTACTTCTGCCTCTTCTCACAGCCCCCACGACAGAACTTTAAGGCAAGTTGGGGTCAGGGCCTTTTGCTGAATGTTCCTCTCTTTTTATTTATTTTATTTTATTTTTGGTACCGGGAATCGAACTCAGGACCTTATGCTTGCAAGGCAGGCGGCAGAACCACTGAGGTAAATCCCCAGCCTGTTCCTCTCTTTTTAAATTGTTACTAAGGAATTGAATGCAGGGCCTTTGCCCTGAGCTACATCTCCAGTCCTTTTTATTTTTCATTTTGAGAAAAGATCTCACTAAGTCACTAAGTTACCGGGCTGGACTTGAAGTTAAGATACTCCTGCCTTAGTTTCCCAGAGTGCTGGGATTCCTAGCATGTGCCACCATACTGGGCTTGTACCTTTGTTAAATCAGTAGGTGTGTTTGGTTTTGCACAATTGTCTCACCACTGAGTTGAACCTTGTCTCCTTTGGCATGATGGAAGTGGAGGGGCTGAGCGTGGGAGGCCGAGCATGGATGGAAGAGGCCATGGCTGAGCAGGGGCTGAAGCAGAAAAGTTCACACTCAAAGGCTCTGGCCCACCTTGAGCAGAGGGTCCCCTGCCTGGCCTGGTGGACAGAGCTCAGGGCCACATACCTTCCCATATTCTGTCTGCGGTTCCTGGTCCCTTCTCTAGAGTGAGGGTCCCCTCTGCCCTCCTGGCTTGGAGGGCACCTCCCCCACTCGCCCACTTGCCCAGAGGCTGCCATGGTGCTCAGCCCCAGGAAAACCATCTCTCAGCCCTGTGCCCACCTCTGGGCTCCCACCCAACTCAGTCGCTTGTGATCTCAGGGATCTGGCTAGGCCCTGGGCCCAAAGGCAAAGCAGCCCCCAGCCCTCCCTGGGGGACGAGGTGGGGGTTCCCATCTGGGGATGTGTAGGAGTCCACACATGGAGGGTACAGTCCTCCGCCTCTGATACGAGGGCTTCTAGGAGGAGGTGATACTGGAGATATCGTGCTTCCTTTTCCTTTATAAAAGAAAGAATTTCTTGGATTTAGCCATAAACCTTACTGTAATTCTTATGTTATAAAAGTAAAACATGTTTCTTGTGACAAGTCAAACAATTAAAAGGCATATAAAGGCTGTTTATGGTCATCTCCCTAACTGATTCCTGTGGAATGGGTGGGTGAGGAGAGGTGACATTTCTGGACTGCTGTCGAAGCTCCCACTGTCACCCTGTCCCAAGACAGCACAGTGTCTTTGGGAACGGCCTTTGGGAAGCCTTTACCCCCAGGTGGTAATTCCCTGAGAGGCTAGAACACTCTGCCCTGTTGGCTGCCCTAGGCAGATTTGGTGAGAATGTGTTATGTAAACAAGATAAAGAAAGCTGGAGAGTGTGCCAGACACCTGCTCCTGGTTATTTATTTTAGTTTTTGCAGGGCCTTCACAATGAGCTATATCCCCAGCTCTTTTTATTTTTTATTTTGAGACAGGGTCTTGATAAGTTACTCAGGCCAGCTCAAACTCATGAGCCTCCTGCTTCAGCCTCCCAGAGTGCTGGGATGACAGGCCTGTGCCACTCTTCCTGATTTCCAGTGGTTCTTACCTAGTGGTTGGAGTTGGAGGGAGAGTTCAGAGGTTTTGGTTGAGAGGGTGGCCTTGAACTTTGGGGCGGTGGGGACTCTGGGACCAAGAATGGAGGTGGTGGGTGGGTGGGATGGAGGGGATCACATGCGCTGGTGATGTAGCTGAGTGTGAAGGCCCTGGGTTCAATCCCCAGTACCATAAAACTAACTAACTAACTAACTAACTAACTAAGAACAGACACTAGAGCTAGGGTTCAGAGGCAGAATGTTTACTTAGCATGTGCTGGCTCTGGCTTTGATCCCTGGCACTGCAAAGCAACAACAGCAGCAACAACAACAACAACACCACCAAGATCTTTTTGATCTTTTCCATGAGTTTAGAATTCCAAATCTCAGGCAACATTGTACTTCCACCTGAGCTGCTTTCATGAGCAGCTTGCCATACCTCTTCCCTAAAGCTGTGCAAAGCCCAAGACCCAGAACCAGAGACCGCAGGCTTTCTTGGCTGATCGTCCACATTGGCCCCAGTCCGGTGCAGCTCAGCCTCTTCCTGCGACAGTCTATGTCTTTCAGGACACTGTGAAACGGGTCTCTCAGGGAGGGCAGAGGGTGCCTCTGTTCTGGTGGCAACCATAAGGGCTGAAGTTGGCTGGCCCTCCTGAGACCCACTGCTCTAGAGCAGCCTTGGGGAGCGGCAGGAGACTGACAGGGATGTCCTAGTGACCCCAAGGCGGATGGCACCCTTTTTCAAAGACCCTTTCCACGTGTGAACTCATTCATCTCACAGGCGGGATGAAGAAGATAGGAGTTATATTCCCACTTTACCCAGGAAAATGGTTCTACATGCATGCTCGCATGTTCTAAGTGCCACTGAGAAGACAGAATAAGCCCTCCAGTCGAAAGTCCAAGTCTAGCTCTTACTATGACACAACTGTAGCCCTTTAGCACTTGAAGAACTTGCTGAGGCACGTAGTGGTGACCACAGGTTGGCTAGGTAGAGGTGGCAGTGTTCCAGGTAGGTGGCTAAGTCTTACGTGTGCAAATGCATCTAGAGAGAAGGTAAGAGAGAGGGAGAGAGGGAGAGAGAGAGAGAGAGAGAGAGAGAGGAAGTTACTCATAGTAAAGTTGCCTGCTTTGGCCTTCCCTTACCTCCTGGGTCAGTTGCAAACACATAGGGGAAGGTTAGAGGGGAGTCTGAGATGTAAGCAGGGAAAGGACTTTGCTGGTATTAGCCAGAGAAGGGAAGGTGAGGATGTGATCTATACATCACAGAACACGAGGAACAAAGGGATGATGAGCCTGGGTACAAATGTCCAGAATTCATGCCAGAGCACTGGGGGAGAGGAACATGTCCCAGTGTGCTAGGAACAAGCAAGATGGGGTAGAGGTGAGTAAATGAGGATCTACACCACCACACAAGTTTGTTAAAACTCACAACCCACTCGAAACAATTCAAGTCATACAACCCAATAAAGCCCTAGGAAGTGACCTAGTGACATCTAAAACAACCAGACAAAACATTGTATCCCACAGAACAGAGAAAGGTATAGAACACCATTGGAAATGGCCAAATCTACAGGTTCACATAGAAATTCCCGAAAAGGAAAGCCCAGGTTCACCATTGTGGGATAAACAGCTGTGCCCAGCTCACCCGCCTCAGGAGTACAGCCACAAACCTCTGTGAGAAATGTGTAACCATCCCGCCATCTCTGATTTATCTCAACCCACAGGGTCAACAATAACCACACTGGCTGGAAGTACTCTATCTGGATCAACTGTGAGTGAATTCTCCACCAATTCTAGTGGGTATGGGTCGACAACCAGCCCAGGCAGCACAGGTTCAGAACTCACAAATGCACCATCCTTCAGTTCCCCTACCACACCGCTGGCTGAGGGATCTACAGCCCTGCCAGGGAGCTCAGGTGTGGCACTCACAACAGAACCCAGTGGAAGCTCACAAACCACAGCCCCGGATGAGGAATCAACAACCCAGACACACAGGTCACTTGCAGGAAGCACAGCCCTGGCACCTGGTAGCTCCCAAACCACCATCTTGACGGAATTCTCCAAGGCCTTTCCAAGCAGCCCTGGTTCAGCAAGGGCCACAGTGCCAACAGACAGCTCGCAGACCACTGGGGTGATTGAAGGATCCACCACCTTTCTAAGTAGCACAGGCTTAGAACAGAATACACAGTGGTCTGACAACTCGCAAACCACAGAACAGATCAAGGCTCAGACATCGCCACAGAGCTCTACTTCAGCACACAGCACTGTGCCTTTGGACACCTCTCAAACCACAGCTCTTCCTGAGAGATCTACACCATGGCCAGGCAGCTCACCAACACCACACACAACTGTTACATTGAAGAGTTCCCAAAGCACAATCCCAGGAAAAGAATCTACAAGCTTCCCAAGTAGCCCAGGGTCAGAAAAAATAACAGAAACATCTGACACCTTAGAAACCACAACGCTGATGAATGAATCTACAAGATTTCAAAGCACTGCCGAGTCAGTACACACAGTGGAGGCATCAACCACCTCTCCAAGCCTTTCAGAACTATCCACAGTGCACCAAGCAAGCCCCGAGTCAGTGCTCAGTACCCGGCCATGGGGAAGCACCCAAACCCCACTCCTGACGGAGGAATCCACAACCTTGCCAAGCAACACAAATTCAGGGCACACAACAGTGCCTTCTGATATCCCCCCAATCACAGGCCATGCTGAAGCTTCCACAGACATGGGAGCCAGCACTGTTTCAACAAACACTACAGGATCATCAGAGAGTTCTCCAACCTCAGTGTTGGTGGAAGGAGCAGCAGCCTCACCAGGCATCACAGGTTCAGAACTCACAAAAGCACCATTCTACAGTTTCCATAGCACACCGCTGGCTGAGGGATCTACAGCCCTGCTGGGGAGCTCAGGCGTGACACCTGCAACGCAGCCTACTGGAAGCTCACAAACCACAGCCCTGGATGAGGAATCGACAACCAGGGCACACAGGTCACCTGCAGGAAGCACAGATGTGTCACCTGGTAGCTCCCAAACCACCACCTTGACAGAATCCTCCAAGGCCTTTCCAAGCAGCCCTGGATCAGCAAGGGTTACAGTGCCAACAGACAGCTCCCAGACCACACACAAGATGGAGGGATCCACAACCTGGCCAGGGAGTCAAGGCTCAGCACCCACACATCTACAACCAGACACTGTGCCCACCACTGCCCTGCCTGGAGCTTCCACAGTAGTTTCTACCAGCCCAGAGTCACCACGCGGCACAGTGACAACACAAACAACTCATTCCACAGTGCTGTCTGAAGGCTCTACAGCCTCTCCCAGCACTCCCAGTGCTGTCCCCACAGGAGCGTCACCTGGCAGTTCCCACACCACAGTCCTGCCTCAGGGAACTGCTACATTCCCACCCAGCACTTCTGCAGCTCACAGCACTGCTGCACCTGAGAGCTCCCAAAGCACAGTCCTGCAGTCAGCATCCACAGCTTTCCCAGGCAGCCTGGCTTCTGCACACACTACAGCGACTGCTGCCACCTCCGCGACCACAGTTCTGACTGCAGCACCTGCAAGCTCTGCAGGCAGCCCAAGCTCAGCTCACACTGCAGTTCCAGGGCAACATTCTCACAGCACAGTCTCGACTGAATCACCCGTGACCTTACATGCCAGTCCTGAGGCCACACCATCAATAATGCCATCAAAGACATCTGCAATGCTTTCTCAAGGATCTACAGTGTCCCAAGAGAATCCTGCCTCAGCTCACACTATACCCCCTGCACACAGCTCCTCAACCTCAGCCCTACCTGAAGAGTCTCCAACCTTCCCTAGCAACACAAGTCCAGAACACACAAGCATGGCATCTAATACAGCGACTGCTGCCACCTCCCCAACCACAGTTCTGACTGCGGCACCTGCAAGCTCTGCAGGCAGCCCGAGCTCAGCTCGCACTGCATTTCCAGTGCAACATGCTCACAGCACAGTCTCGGCTGAATCACGGACAAGCTCACAACCCAGCTCGGAGACCTCACACTCAACAGAGCCATTACACACTTTGGCAACAACAGTTCTTTATCAAGGGTCCACAGAGTCCCAGGTGAGTCCAGCCTCAGCTCACACTACAGCCTCCAGAGACAGCTCCTCAACCTCAGCCCTACCTGAGGGATCTCCAACCTTCTCCAGCAACACAAGTCCAGGACGCACAAGCACGGACTCTGACACCACCCCAGTCTCAGTCCGCTCTGAAGCATCCACAGCCCTTGAAAGAAGCCCTCCTTCAACACTCACTACACTGCCCACACTCAGCTCCCAAACCCCGGTGCTGGTGGAAGGGTCTACAACCTCCGCAGGCAGCACGGGTTCAGCACTCACCAGTGGACCGAGTTCCAGCTCCCAAAGCACAGACCTGGCCCTGGCATCTGCAGCGTCCTCGCCCAGCACATCTTCGGGGCACACGGCTGCTTCATCGGACAGCTCCCTAAGCACAGCCACGCATGGTGGAGCCACAACCTTCCCAGGCCGCCCTAGTTCAGCTCACACAACTGTGATTTCTGACATTGCCCAAAGCCCAGTCTCCGATGGTCCCTCTTCAACTTTATATTTGGATCCCTCCTCTTCCCTTTTCCCAGTCTCTCACCACCCTGTTATTCCAGCTTCCTCTAGTTTTTCTCCTCCCCTCCCTTCCACTTCTGGCTCTTCCCAATCTCCATTCTCAGGGTTCAGCAGCAGTTCCATTGTGCAGTCTGTGTCTACCTCCTCCCACGCTACTGCCACATTTGCCCCTTTGTCACCAAGTAAGTTTCTGCACGTGTGACTGCATGCAGTCCTTTACTTCTCGTTTATTCACAACATAATCATATGTTTCTCTTTGTTGTCATGTCCCCCTTTGAGCTGTCCAGTCACCAACCCATGCCATCTACTTTCAATTCATAAGGCTGTTTCCTTCTTTGTCCATTTGTATTTTTCATTTCCTTGCTTTCTAATTTCTCCTTTCACCCTTTCTCCTGAAGATGTTTGGGTACCAGGGCTTCTCTGTTGCTAAGTGATCCTCTGGTCCCACTGCCTTTGTCAAGTTCAATGTCTTAATTGAGAACTGGACAGGAGCCAGTTTCTATTCGTTGGGCTTCCTTGATGACCTTTATGAATTCTGTGCCTCCACAGTGCATTGCTACCATGGGGGATCTTGGAACAGAATCAAGTGTGAGTGCAAACCGGGCACCACTGGTCAGCAGTGTGAGTTCCTCGTGCACTCCTTCCCCATAGGTAATGACCACCTCTGAGCCCTGTAGCTCTCCTCATACCTTTTGGCATTTGAAATAGGATGGTAGTGTTGGAAGGGCTGACCACTCCCACCACCTCACTGTGTGGAGAGAGGGGTTCATGTAGATGAGGGTCCTTCTGCCTCTGCCTTTGGGACCTTTTTCACCAAAATTCTCCTGTCCTCTTGTCCCAGGCAAGTGGTCCCTTGCCCAGCCCTCCTGTATCTCTCCACCTGATTCCTTCTGGGTCTCAGCCCTGGCCACCTCCTGGCATTGAGATAAGAGACAGCTGCCTTAGCAACTGCCACCTGTCTCTTGATTTATCCTCCTCACTCCTCCCCACTTCCCATACCTCCATGAGAGCAAGAGACAGAGAATTCACCCATCCCAGGGAACATTCCTGGGAGGTCACTGTCTCATACCTAGTGTGGCCTGTTCCTACAGAAATCCCACAAGTAATCAGTGCGACTGTCACTGTGATAGTGAAAGTGACTCACAGGAATTTCACAGAAGTGTCGGACATATTCTCCCAGGCACACCAGGATTTCATTGATCTCTTCATGAATCGGGTAAGAGCAGGGGAGACCAGTGGTGAGAAGCCATGAGGTGCTCATCTGAAGCCCTCAGACCCCTCAGTCCCAGGAGGGATTCCTCTGAGAGCTTCTACCCTGGAGCCCTACCCACCCCATCCTGGCTGTGCAGCTTCCCAGCTTCAGGGCCTTCCCTGCCTCCTTCCTGTGGACTCCACAGAAGGGACTGGAGATAAGGGATGGGACCAACCTGGTGCAAGTTGGACTGTTTCTTTCAGATGGATGAAGTGTACACAGGCCATGACCTCCCCGCGTACAGAAGGGTGATCATCAGAAATCTGACGTGAGTATATTGGGCAGGTTTCTAGGTTGTGGGAGTCCCTCCCCAATCCTTGTGGTCCTGCTTCCTCCTGTCAGGCATGGTTAGAGTCTCGAGGCAACTCTGAGGGCCCTGAGACCATTTATTTATCAATGGGTCATTCGTTCATCATGTCCTTCATTTATCATTCAATATGTTCATTCACCATTTGCTCATTCATTCATCATGTTCATTTATTCGGTCATTTGCTGTTCATTATCATTTGCTTGTTCATTCATGCTTGTTCACTCATGCACCCATCATGCTCATTAATTTATCGCTTGTTTATTCATTCATTCATCCTTTTATTCAACCTTTATTCACTCAACAAATTATAAAAGTCTGCCCTGTGCTGGGTGTGGGAAACATGGTATTTCCAGTCTTCCTGGAGTTCAGAGTGGCGGAATACAGATAGGACAAGGGCTGTGCAGTCTAGTGGAAGTTAAGGTAAGGAACACACAGGGTGCATCAGGAGAGGTCCCGAAGCAAGGCTGGTGAAGTGGTGGTGGAGGGAATTCTTCTCAGGAGATGTGACAACTCAGCTGAGCCTTGGAGGGCCAGGAGAGGGGAGAGGGAAGAGGGAAGGGATGAGGCTGAGCCCAAATAGAGGGGGACCCATTTCCAGGAACTTATGGGCCCCTTGAAGGCAAAACAGCGGTGGTGGGTAGGAGGTTGGAAAGGTCGCTGTTGGCCAGATAGTTGGACTTCAGGGGCCAGCAAGGATGTTTTAAAAGTCTGTCCCCATCAATAGTACGCTCCCTAGGCAAATACCATTCTACTTTCTGTTTGTATGGTTTTGACAACTCTAAGGACATCACATAATAAGAATCACACAGTATTTTGTGGGCTTATTTCACTTAGTGTTTTGTCCTCAAGGTTTATCCAAGGTGTAGCATCCTTTTTAAGGCTGAGTAATATTCCACTGCATATAGATATCATATTCCCCTGTTGATGGACTTTTGGCTCATTTCCACTTTTGGGCTACTAAGAATAGTGTTACTATAAATATAGCGAACAAATATTTCTTTAAGGCTCTGTCATCAGTTCTTTTGAATATATATTCAAAAGTGTAACTGTTTAATCATCTGATAATTTTGCCCACTGCAGCTGTACCATGTAACATTCCCACCAACAGTGGACAAGGAAGGTTCCAATTTCTCCACATCCTCCCCCAAGTGCCTCTATTTTTTTTTTTGGTACCGGGGATCAAACTCGGGACCTTGCAATTGCAAGGCAGGCAGTGGAACCACTGAGCTAAATCCCTGGCTGAAGGGCCTCTATTTTTAAGGAGATGTTGGTATTTCTTGTGGCCACTGATATTTCTGGATCTCATGTTGCCTTGCTCTACTGCCTATTCTTTCCTACCTCTGAGTCAGTCATATCTCTGCTTTGTCTCCCAGTCCCTCCTTGCTGTTTGGGCCCCACTTGCTGGGTGTGTGGGTGACCTGGGGTAACTGATGAAATAACTCCTGCTTCCAGTGAGGGCAGCATCGTGGTACAAAATGACGTTGTCCTGGAGACAAACTACATCCCACAGTATAAGGAACTGTTTAAGAACTTCACAAAGATCGTGAGGGACAAAATCAAGATGGAAACCAGTATAATCCCGCCTGATCAAGACAAGTGTCCAGGTAGGTCCACCCGAAGCTCCTTGGCAGTGGTGGGAAAGCAGCTCTTGGTCTCTATCTACTCCTCCTTCTCTCTCCTTTCTTTCTTTTTTTTTTTTTTTTTTGGTACCAGGGATCAAACTCGGGACCTTGTGCTTGCAAAGCAGGTGGCGGAACCACTGAGCTAAATCCCCAGCCCTCTCTCTTCCTTCTTCTGGAACATTCCAGTTGTCACTAGAGGAATCCAGAAGCGAGGCTGAGGTGATAGCAGACATGAGGATCTGGAAATAAGACTGTGCCAAAGATCACACGCACACATTCTCTTGCACAGGCAAAGTTTACTGGGGTGGTGGCAGTGGCAGAGGTGTATGTGTTTCAGCTGAATTGTGGCTTTAGCCAAAGAGAATTATCATCGATCAAGAGGGGCACTGAGCTGTTCAGAGAACAAGGACAGCAGAAGGTTTAGCGATTTTCTGGGGTGGGCTGAAGTCCGGTCATTTCCACTGGCCAGGTGTATGGTTCTTCCTATGATATTTCTTCCTGTGAGAGACTTGTGGGCAAAGTCAACTTGTCCTAGAGACTGCTGAATTCTTGCACAGCTGATGCCACCATCCTGCTCCAAACATCCCAGTTCTTCTTGGGCTGGGCCCTAGGAAAAGGCTGAAAAGCTTTAGGTGCTTGGGCTGCTGTGGCTGCTGAAGAAGCACAAGGGTGGGGGCAGAAAAGAGGGAGAGGGAAAGAAAAGCAAACACAAACCAGCTCCAAGGGGCAATAGGCGAGTGAACCCTGTAGTATAATCTTGGACAAACATTTTTAAATTAAATGGTCAGCAAGACTATAGGCAGAGTTGAGTAGAATCTGACCCAGGGATTAAGACAGCAAAGGGAACGGACACAGGTGAAGGTAGAGATGAAAACCTTTTATCCCTTTTTTAGTTACCTATCAGATATCTGTAGGCTCAAGTGAAAAGTCAATGTTTTTGTTTTATTCTGTTTTGTTTTTCAGTGCTGGGGAATGAACCCAGGACCTTTGCACTGAGTTACATCCCCAGCGCTTTCTAATATTTTTGTTTTTGAAACAGGGTCTTGCTAAGTCACTAAGTTGCCCAGGGTGGGCTCAAACCTCCGGTCCTTTGGCTTTGGCCTCCCAGAACACTGGCATTATAGGCGTGTGGCACTATGCTGGTCAGTGTTTTCAACAAAAGCAGCCTTCAAGCTTCTGCACAGTAATCAGGGCAACTGTTAATGCAACTCACATGGCAGGTGCTATGTACCGCAAAGCTGGCAGGAGACTAATAATGAACTGTCCAGCTGTGTGACCTCCAAAACAAGGACAAATGAAGCTAGAGGGTTCCTTTAGATTTCTTTCTTGGTAACAGTTCCCTCGATTTGCACACACGTTCTGCTTCTGTGGTTTTATCAGAGTCTTGAGTCAGGTCTGTTGTAAAAACACAAGGTAGAGAGGTGACACATGCTGTGTTACAAAGGGGTCATTTGTTGTTCCCGCCTTCTGTCCCACCGTGGTGTCTCTGTCTCACGCAACCCTCCCCTATTGTCATCCTCCTCCCACCAGGCCCTCTCAGTCCCTGGCTGAGGTTGTCACCACCCTCAATGTCCCACCTGAGCCTGCTCACAGGACTGGGTACATATCTGGGGATAGGCCAGGATCCCTCCAGCATTGGCCCAGTGTGGAGGGCATGGTATGGAACGAGCTACCCCCATGGAGCCAGGGAAGGCATTTCTGTTGGTTTTACCTCCCTCCCTTCCTCGGCAGTCTCCATACTGTGTTACAACATAAATGACACCGCTGTGGATGAGGCCGGAGTGAGGATGAACTTCGACCCCCAGGGTGAGCAGTTACATTGAGCCATGGACGGGAGGGGGTGGGCGTGGGCAGTAAATATGGGGTCTTGGGGGGAGCTTTAGCCAGGCTGACTCGTGCTACTCACCCCTCACCCCCAGAGCAATGTACCCAGAAGTCTGCCGATGGCTACAGCCAGTTCTACTATGTAGAAGAGCTGAATGGGCAGCTGACCTGTGTGACCAGGTGCACCCCAGGCTCGCAGGAGTACCTCAGCTGCAACCTGGGCGAGTGCCAGCTGCAGCGCAGTGGCCCCCACTGTCTGTGAGTGCCCCCCTAAGTCTAGCGCCCACCCTCTCTTCCCCTCCCCCACATTCCCCAAAGGGTCAGGGTGGGGGTGGACAGAGCTTGGAAGGTGACTCCTCCCCTCTCCTCTAAGTCTCCTCTCACACCCTCTTCCCTCTACCTGGCTCTCTCACCCCCTACCCCCAGCTTCATGAGAGTGAGGGGTGGGCACAGATTAGAGATATGGGCCTTCAATGGCAGAGCTAGCCCCTTCCTGGGGAAGCTCAATTTTATTTCTTTCTATCATCTCTCTCTACCCCTCCTTGTCTTTCCCTCATTAATTTCCCTTACCTTATCTCAGCTGTAGTGTCATTATCAGCTGTAGCTGTGGCCTGGATGCTTAATTTCCCTGGATTATAAATTAAATTGCAAAATATAAAACACGATAAGAAGCCCATCCAGGTGCCGGCAGCTTTGAGATTAGATGGGTAAACATCACGTGTCTGGCATGAGGTGCCCAGCTTTCTGAGATCCCTCTGAGTCTCTGTCATTCTCAATTCCTGTTCTGCTGTCCCTGAGGCCCCCACATGCTGCCTGCCTTAAGGACCCAAGGTCCCTGGGGACCCAGCGCCTGCCCTTGGGGCAGGGATACCCTGGGGCTTGGGACACTGACTTTGGCCTTTGAGAGGCTGTTGGAGGGATGCCAGGGGCTGAGCCTTTGTGTGTCTCCAGATGCCCGAACACAGACTCGCACTGGTATTGGGGAGAGACCTGTGAATTGAACATCAGCAAGAACCTTGTGTATGGGCTGGTGGGCACTTTGCTGGCCCTGCTGCTGGTCATTATGCTGATCCTGGCCATTTTCCTCACCCGATCCCGGAGGAGAGAGCATAGGTGAGTGTGAGGGACCAGCATGTGGCCCAGAGAGGGCACAGAGTGGGTGTGGGGACTGCAGGTGGCCACTGCCCACAGAGGCCAGAGAGGGTGCAGCCAGGGTTGCTTACAATATAATACAATAGGCCACATCCCTTTGGCAGAGAAATGGAAACGAAAACTTAAGTCTAAAATTAGATTACACAATGACATTATCTGTGGTTATTGTCACCTGAGCTGTCACAGAGAAGCTCAGCCACATGAGGAAGCTGGAACTGAGCCATCTGGGTCCTCACCTTCCCTAGCTGTGTGTGGGGTAAGATGAAGCTGGAAATGCCCAGCACAGTGCCGGCCCAGAGCCAGCAGTGGAAAGAGCCACCTTACTCTACTGTAATGTCCTCGTCTCAAGCCTAAGGAAACAGGCCTGCTGGGGGAAGCCCGGCCAGTGCCCTGAGGTGGGAGCAAGGTGAGCTTGTTTTGCACTGTCTCTGCTGCCCTCCAGGCCCCAGGGTGTGGCTGTGACAGTCCTCTGGGGGAAGCTTAGCCCTGAGCCCCCTCCTCCATGCTCACCCCATTTCTGTTGGCAGCCAAGAATACACCCTGTCTCAAGAGTGGCAGAAAGAAGGGATCCCCGGCAGCTTCCAGAACATGGGAGTCTGGGAAGGTACCTGTGGTCAGGGCAGAGGGGTGGGCAAAGCTGGGGGTGCACAGACAGCTCTGTGGCCACAGGATGTCGCAGGCGTCCTGCCCCTTCACCGTGGCCATGGCGACAGGCAGTCTCACATCTGCTGCCGGAGCCCGGTCTGTGCCCCTACCCCGCCAGCACTGCTCAAGCCCCCGACCAATCCTCAGCCTTTTCACAGCTTCTCCCCATCAAATTCCCAGAACAGAGCCTGCCCTCCTTCTCATTATGCCCCCTGCTTGCCTTCAGACATGTGGTGCTGTGTCTCAAATGTTCTGCCTCCTGCCATGGGCAACAGCCGATGTAGGATGGGCTGGCATCATGGCTTTCCATGCAGTCTCCCCGATCTTCAGCGCCCTCTGGCTTCAGCTCTCCCGGGGTCCCTCCGGCCATGTCTGCTGGGATCTCTGTTTACACAGCTTTCCCCAGTGGGCCCAGCTTCCTGCCTTCCCAGTTCTTCCTGACACCCCATGGGCCACCCTGCCCAAGACAGCATCCGGCCCAGAGGTCAGACACCCATCCCACCACATGGGATGATAGGGCTGCGGGGGTCAGGGAGTCCTCAGAAGGGCTGAGTCTAATTCTCTAAGCAGTGAGTCAGAGGTGACACCCTGCTGTCACAAACTGTCCGGTCAGGACAGGGAAGGGGCACCCAGGCAGGGCCCACTGCACAAGTGAAAGCCGTAGGTGGGAAACAGCAGAGCCTGTGGAGGGAGCTAAAGGCAGGAGACCCCAGAAGAATGAGTCGGGGGCCATAAGATGGGCAGAGCCAGGACATGCCAGGCTTTGGGGGTCCAGGTGACTGTCCTGTGACCAAGGAGGGCTGCATTTGCATTTGAGTGGCTCTCAGGTGGGTCCTCGGGGACAGCACAACATAGGGGACCAGGGACAGGAGGAGGAAGTTCAGGAGTGGGCTGAGGGTCCGGCAACCTGGTAAGGCCTTTGGAGGTGAGCAGGGTGCCGGAGGGCAGGGAGGAGTGAGGGAGGATTCTCAGGGCTCCAAGATGGCCTGGATCAGGAGCATGGGGTTACTGCCTGAGATGAGAGTCTAGGGAGATGCAGGAGGTGCGTCTGTCTCTGAAGGGCCCAGAGGTCTGTGGCTTGAGGGCGCCCAGGGAGCTATCAGCTCTAGATGGGAAGCAGGCAGGAAACCAGCAGGCAGGGAAGGGGTGGGTAGGGCAGGAGGCCCCCAAAGGGGGGCAGAGAGGCTCAGGAACTACAGGCCCCACCTGCCCACCCGGAGGCCAGGAAGGAGAGAGGGAGGGTCTGCAGGATTGCGGAAGTCAGATTGGGACCCAAAACAGGGATGGGGCTCTGCTTGCTGTGGTTACTGTTGTCAAGGGACTGGTCTGGGACACCTGTTTGTTGACTCAGAGGCTCCACCCAACTCCTTACCCCTCCTTACCTGTGACCACTGCCCCACCAGGCCCTTGCCAGTGGTCTGCGCTTTTCAGGGCTGTGGCTTTTGACCTGGTTCCTGTTGTTCCAGCCTGTCCCTGGGGTACACTCCCGAACTCCCATGCCCCCATGAAGGGGTGAATGGAGAGAGGACTTGCTTCCTCTTTTGGATCCCCCCCTTTCCTGTGTGTCTCCCAGATTCCTCTGGGTTCCTCTCACCTCATACCTCTGCCCACAGACCAGAATCTGAAGGACAAATTCGGCCTGGAGAATGCCTACAGCCGCTTCCACCCCTCGCTGGGGACTGTCAACCCCACCACAGAGGTGACTCAGCTGAGACCCAGCCCTATGCCTGCCCTGAGCCCTGGGGCGCCCCTCTCCAGCCCTGGGGCTGCTCCTCAGCTCTGGGGTCACCCTTTCTCACTGGCATTTCCCTCTCCCCAGTTGCACTTTCAGAGGCCAGAGGTGGTGAGAACGACTCGGTGAGGTACAGAGGCTCCCAGCCCTCATGTAGATGTAGACCAGAGAGCAACAGAGAGCCCACTGTGAACAGCCCTGGCTGGCCAAGAAGAAAGCAGTGCGGGGCCCTGTGGCCCTGCAGGTGCGCATAGGTGACAGATTGGCCTATGGTCTCCTGCTGCTGCCTGCTGGAAAGGCGGTGGGGGCTGTGAGTGTTTCTGTCTGCTCCATCACCCTCGTCCCGGCCCATGAGTCCGAGGCTACCAGAACTCTTGGCTTCTTTGTTCACCCTTAGCTTCTCCCCACTGGGGAATTTCCCTGAGAATAAAAGCAACTCTTAAAGAGCACAATGAGGTCAGCACTTTCCTTCCTTCTCTTGCAGGTGCGTGGGAGTGGGGGCTGCAGCCGGGGTCTGGGGTGTGAAGGGGGTGTGGGGGAGGGTTTCACTCTGCTCCTGATGGGGCTGGGCTGGGTGCCCCTGTCTGAGGTCTCTGCAGCACACAAGCCCTCCGTCAGGGCCTGGGAACAGGAGTGAACCTCAAGGTCACCTCAAGGAGTGAGGGTGGGACCGCGAAGAAAGCTGAATGAGCACTTGGCTCTGCTGAGCTTGAGGGTGGGCAAGGTCGCTCCAGATGGTCATGGGGCGCTGTGTTCACCTCCAAACTTACGGACCTCAAGAACTCTCAGGTATCTCAGGGCTGTGATTGGCCCAGCTGTGGCTGGACCTGTACCTCCTGTCCTGCCAGGGTACCCATAGGACACAGACAGGCTCGAGAAGGGGGTGTCCTCACCAGGGCCTGGGGCCAAGCCCGGGAGACCTTCTCTCCTGCTCCCACCCCCACACCCCCGGTCTGCTTCGATCCTCTCTCCAGGAGTTCTCCCCTCCAGTCTCCCTCCAGCTTTGGGCCCACGCTGCCCTTCTATTAGGGTGATAAATCTGATTGCTTTCGTGTTTGTGTGCTGTTTGGCCATGGAGGGGAACCCCTCCCTCTGCCCTTTGGCCTGGTACATACCCCACACCCGAAGTCTGGAGGGAAGCTCCCACATTAACTCGGGTTACAATGGGTCCGGAGCTCCCCGTGTCTCAGGGGTCAAAGGTCTCCGAGCCCTTTTTATTTTGAGGGTTCCCTGGCTGCCATTCATTTTACCAGCTTGTGGGAAGGGTGAAGGGTAGGCTCAGCTCTCCGGGCTCCGATGCAGACACCGGTAACAGTGGCGCTCTGCTTTCTGGCCCTTGTCCCCCAGCTCCTGCCTGACCATGCTGCTGCCGAACAGGGTGAGTGACCCCCATTCCCATAGGCCACCCTCCTGGACCTGCCTAGCTCCCGAAGCACTGCTTTCTTTCCCTGGCATCCTCTCCTCTCCCCAGGGAGCTTTGGGAGATGGGCAGGGCTTTGGAGCACCCCCCGCCCCCCGCCCACCCCGAGAGTTAATAATACCTGATCGTGGGTCTGGCTGCCACAAGGATGGAACAGAATCCCCAGACACCATCCCTGGCCCAGGACAGATACCCAACCAGTGTTAGAGCTGTCCTTAACCTGGTGACTGTCCCCATCCAACCCCTTTGCCTCCACCTTTATACCAAATGCCCCAGGGCCAGACACTGGCCTCTCAGAGTTCTGCCTATTCCAACTCTTGACCTCATCCTTTGCTTTCCTTTCCCTTCCTCCTCCTCCTCCTTCCTCTCTCTCTCTCCCTCTCCCTCTCCCTCTTTTCTTTCTTGTGCACTGGAGATTGAACCCAGAGCCTTCACACTGAGCTACATTGTCAACCCTCTTAAAATTTTGACACAAGATCTGGTTAAGTCATTAAATTACCCAAGCTGGGCTTGAATCTATAATCCTCCTGCCTCAGCCTCCCAGAGAGTTGGGATTACAGAGATTCCCCACTGTTCTGGGCATTTCTACATCACCCACTCAGGCTTTGTCCCCTGAGAGTGTCACAGGACTGCAGCCAAGATGAGGCTTCAAGAGCCCCAGATTCTAATCTTGCCATGAGCCAGCTGTGTGCCACATAGCCACTCTGTTATCTCTGGTCTCAGTTTCTCCCTTCAAAAAGCAAGGGGCGAGGCCACTAAGGATGCTTCCAACTTAATTACTTTGGGCTCCAGGCCTTGGGGCCAGGCTCAGGACAGAAGGGTGTGGCAGTGCACCCTGGTGAGCTCCCTCTGGCCCTTGCCTGCCCCTAGGGAAGGCTGGAGAGAAGCCAAGGCAGAAACTGTACTCGGGCTCGGCCTTCATACCCTCAGGAGGGAAGGAAGGGGACATGGGGCCAGGCTTGCACATGGTGTTCTTATGGGTCCGCCCTGGACTTTGCCCTCCCTGAGCTCGGAGCTCCATAAACAGTGGGGATCCTGCCCCACCCCTTCCAGCCAGCTCTTCTTGAGGGAGAAATCGGGGGCCACCTGAGCATAATCCCTGGCCCAGGGCCTCTGATGTGGCCTGTGGGTCACAGCCATGGCCGCAGCAAGGGAGGAGCCCTTCCCAGCCCCTCTCACCCTCCACCTGCTCTGTCTCCTTTCTGTCCTTACTCCCTTCCCTCTTTCTGGCTCCTCTCCTTCTCCTCTCTTCTTCTCCCCACTTCTTCCCTGCCCCTCTTCACCTCGCCCTAACCTGCCTCATTTATCTCTAGCCTCAGTTTCCCCTTCTGTAAAATGAGACTTTTCAGCTCCCATTGGGACTCTCTACTCCCACACTGTGGGATTCTGTGTTTCCGCCCTCTCGGGGCCCTGGTCTGCTTTGAGTGACATCTGAGTCTCATGCTCATCCTCTCTCCAAGGACAGAGAGCCGTGCCCTCCTTAGACCGCTGGGCTGGAGATGCCAGGAGAGGGTGTGGGCCTTCCAGTGGCCCTTCCCAGTAGCTGTCCTCTCACCTTTCCGCGTACCTCAATATATGATGCATCAACAAACACAATGTCCTCTGCACTGGCCCAGCCCTATCTGCCTCAGCAAGTGACCTCTGACCCCCACACCCAGCATGACTGTGACCAGGGCCTGGGGGTCAGTCACCTATCCAGAGCATGTGCCTTTGCCTTCCCCAACCTGCCCTGTCTTGGGCCCTGCATCTGTGCTTGCCCCCACTGCCACCTCCCTCCTGAGAGATGCTAAGGCCCCTGTCAAGGACCTGTGCAGGGGCCCCTCCTGAGGATCCGCAGGGCCCTTTGCTAACTCCTCTCCGGTCACACCCACCTCTGCAACCACGGTGGCCACTGACAAGCCAAATTTGCTTCCTGGGACTGCTCCCAGGGCCCACCACCTGGGTGGCTCAGACAGTGGAACTTCCTGTCTCACAGTTCGGGATGGCCATCTAGGTCCCCAGGCTCAGCAGGGTGCACCCCAGAGCCCTCTCCCAGCCTCATGGGGCAGCTGGCCAGCTCTGTGTTCCTTGGCTGGCAGAGGCGCCACCTGGATTTCTGTCTTCCTCTTCCTCACTCTCTCCCCGTGTGCACCTACCTGTCTGGGTCCCGATTTCTCCATTCATAAGGACTTCTGTCATGTCAGCAACCTCAGCTTAACTTGATCTAACTATGCAGACCGAATCTCGGAATAAGGCCAGCTTCTGAGCGACCGGGGTGGGGTGAGGGGCTTCAATTCAACCCCTAACAGAAAGGAATGAGAGGCGAACTGTGGAGGCAGGGAGCAGCTTTATGATTTTATTTTTGCAGTGCTGAGGATGTAACCCAGGGCCTCGAAGGTGTCAGGCAAGTGCTCTACTGCTGAGTTGTACCCCAGCACACAGGCTTTTTAAAAAAGCAATTGCTAGCTGGTCGTGGTGGTTGCTTGCCTGTAATTCCAGCACACTGGGAGACTGAGGCAGGAGAATCACAACTTTGAGCACAGCCTAGGCAAATCACAGACTCAGTGAGACCCTGTGTCAAAATGAAAAAGGGATGGGAAGTAGTAAAAGTTAGCTCCGTGTAAAAGCCATGGGTTCCATCCTCAGCACTAGAAAAAAATCCCCTGCTAAACCAGGTGTGGTGGTTTATGTTCGTAGTCTATAACCCAGCAATGGGAGGCTGAGGCAGGAGGATCTTGAATTTAAGGGGAACCTGAGCTAAGTAGCAAGACCTGATTGCTAGTAGCCAGAAGGAAGAGTGAGGTAGGTGACATGGGGGAGGGCAGTGCTCGTTCCTCTGTTTGTTTCCCTTTATCTGTCTTCTACCCCACTCCCTCCAGTGGGGAGGCAGCTGCCTGTGTGCCCAGCCCTAACCTTTCAAGATCTAGATAAACAATCTATTCCTCTGTAGTAATTTCTCAAAATTACAGAGGAAACATAAAACAAGGCCAGAAACAACCAAAGTGAAAGGCACCAGAGAAGCACCTGCACACAGGACACCAGCACTCCTGCTGGTTGCACCTGGTGGGCTCGCCCCACCTGCCAAGGCCTGGCTCCTGTCTCACCTCACCCCCAGCCCTGCAGTCCGAGAGCTTCCTTTACTCTCACTCTCTTCCCACCCCTTGGGGTCCGTGGCGTCAGGGCCTTGGAGCACATGGAGGAGGACACTGACCATGAACCCTGGACTCCTGGAACTGCTCCCAATTTACCCTGGGGAGCCAGGCCCAGGCAGGGAAGGATGGCTGGCTCCAGGGAGCTTTGCTGCCAGGCCTGGGTCTTTGGACGTCTCTGCCAAGACACCAGGCCCCCTTGGTCACCATCTTTGTCTCGACATGAGCCACGACCTGAGCTACCTGAGCAAACTCACAGTCTGAGATAATGGGCCTGGCGGTAGGTAGGTCTGGTTGCACAATTGCAGGGCTCGGAGCAATTTATTCAGATCAATACAAGGGGAGAGGATTGTGAAATCAAATGTGAGGCCCTTCTAATTACCGGGTGGCAAGCAAATCCACCCAGTAGATAGGCAAGTGGCGAAAAACCAATCAGATCACAGCTGTGATCTCAGCACTCTGCAAGGAGGCAGGAGGGTCGCAAGTTTGAGCCCAGCCTGGGCAACTTAGTGACTTAGCAAGACCCTGTCTCCAAAAAATAAGGGCTGGGGATGTAGCTCAGTGCAAAGGCCCTGGATAGGGACTGAATAGAACAAAATAAAAAAGGAAGCACAAGGGCTGGGATTTGGCTCAGTGATGCCATCACCTGCCTCGTAAGCGTAAGGTCCTGAAATCAATCCCTGGTACCAAAAGAAAAAAAAAGAAGGAAGCATAAATAGCTGTAATAGCAAGTTCCAGTACAAGCTCTTCTGAGATGGTGTAAAGGGATGTTACAGTTTAGATCTAAAATGTTCCCCCTAATTCTTCTGTGTGTGGGGGTGCTATTCTTACGGGCTCAACCCTCGATGTTCAGCGGTTGGATGCGCTGTTAGGAGGTGGGGCCTGGCTGG